CTTTCCAGAGTACCCTTATCAGGCCTTGTCAAGCTACTACCAGTTGGTATCCGAACATTTGGGCCGCGGACTTCCAAGCGATGCGGGATAAAGCTAGGTCATCGCCTTGTGTGATATCTGAGACAGACACTATACACATAGCCTAGGAAAAACTTAAGGCTCACATCGTCGACATTTCTGCAGCTCACATCCCGATGGTAAAAAGAAGGGAATCGAGAGCGCAGCTTCCGTGGATAGATTCCGCGGGGAAGGGCCTGCTAAACAAGCGGTCTAGATGCTGGCGAGTGTACCGAACAACTCCATCGAACAGCACGTTTGACAAGTATCGGTTGGTTCGAAATGAGTGCAAGCTACATCTTAGGTTGGCCCGGCTTCAGTATGAAAATGGGTTATCTGATACTTCCTCGAAAAGTCCTAAGAAATTCTTCGCTTACGTTAAACGACGCTGTGGTGCGAACTCGCCCATACCATCATTGTCTATAGCGACTATGACAAGGCATGCGTGCTTGGTGAGCAGCACTCAAGCGTCTTTGTCCACGAAATAAATACACCATGCAAAGAATTAGCTTCAAGAGTCTCTGAGGACTGTTTGGATGAAATACCTGTAGCGGAGTCTCAAGTTTTCCGGTTGCTAAGAAAGGTAAACCCAACTACGGCTTCCGGGCCAGTCTGTTCATCCAAAATTATTGCATGAATTGGTAGTGGAACTCGGTGGACCTCTGACTTGTGTGTTTCAGAAGTCACTCAGCAGTTATGTCTTACCTACCCAATGGAAGGAGGCTGTTGTCTGCCCGATTTTCAAGTGCGGTGACAGACCTACCGGCTAATTACAGGCCTGTCAGTTTGACTGGCGTGGTCGTTAAGTTACTTGAAAAATTAGTATGGGATATAGTGGAGAACCATTTAAATATGTTTAACCTGCTTAGCATCAAGCAACATGGTTTTCGCAAAGGATTTTCGTGTCAGACGAACTTGCTGGTAGCTCGTGAGAGCTGCGCTGAAGCCGTAGACAGTGGACATGCGGTGGATGTGGTGTTCATTGACTTCGCTAAGGCCTTTGACCCTGTCCCCCATTCGCGATTCTCACTGAAGTTGAGGTCGTATGGAATATCTGGTCGCGCTCTTCAGTGGGTGTCAGCTTTTCTGGATGGACGGGAACAGTGTATTCGTGTGTGAAGCAGTCTTTCGTTTCGACAAGCTGTCCTTAGCGGCATTCCGCAAGGCTCTGTCTTAGGTCCGCTGCTGTTCTGTCTACGTGAATGACTTGCCAAGGTAGCTTAAGGTACAATCGCTCTTATTTTCTGATGACCTAAAGCTCTGGAATGTTGGTGATATCCCTGGAGGCCCTGTGGCTCTTCAACGGGCCATGCATAAACTGGGAATGGTCTGTCTTGTGATTGCTGCCCATAAACCGGGCAAAGTGTTCAGTGCTGTGTATCGGAGCATCTGATTCCTCCACAAGTTATGTGCTCGATGGGAGTGAACTTCCTCACGTGACTCATCAGTTTAATCTACGTGTCGTCCACTGTTCCACACTACACTTTGGAGACAGCTGGAAGAAGGCGGTTAGTAAAGGGTTCCGAATGTTATGGTTTATCCGTCGTTCTGGGACCCTAACCGCTGATGTGTTTGTGAAGCTCTTCTCAGCGTTTGTGCGACCCCACCCAGAATATTGCATCCAGGCCTGTCCACCATGCCTTGTCCGAGACAAAATGGCACTAGAAAGGGTGTTGCGTGTCGATACTAGGTAGGTCGCGTGTTACGAGGACAAACGTATCCCGAATGCCTACTTAGTTTGGGGATGCATTCAATGCACTATCGAAGGATTAGAGGGGACCTACTCCTAACTACCGTATTTTGACTGGGAAGGTTGGCCCTTATTAGTCTGACTATTTAGTCCTGCTAGATTATCTGATCTCCGCGAGCATTGTATGAAGCTGGGCAAACCGCGGTCCGATCGAGTTAGAGCGGAAACACGGTTATCGCGTCGAGTTATCGAGCGCTGGAACTTGCTTCCAGAATATGTTCTCAAGGGAGCTACGGTTAATGGGTTTGAGCGTCAACTAGATGCTCTTGGGTGGCAACACGAAACCTTTCCATTTTCCTGACTAATTCCCATCTTCATACTTCGATTCTATTTTCTGTACTTTCCCTCATCATTGGTATTATTCTCTTTTAACTGATTTCCTTTACTCTTTACCTTCGATTTTTTTTCCTCTCGCTTACTTCACGTAACTGACATAGCAGGGACAGCTAATGTAAGAAACGTGGGAATTAAATTGGTGGACCAGGGTGTATTTTCGGGTGTATTCGTTTTAGATTCATTAAGAAGTCGGAGCACCCCTATCAACTCCTGGATCGACGACTCGCTCAAGAAGGAACATTTACGGGATTCATCCTATCGTTCCAGTCCCACTGAAACTTGAACTCTTGGGTGGCAGCCTGAAACCTTTCCATTTTCCTGACTAACTCGTGTCTTCATACTTCGATTTTCTTTTCTTCATGCCTTGGTATTATTTTCTTATTTAAGTGAACTTCCTTATTCTGTACCTTCGATTTCTCTTCCTATCCTTTGCTTACTTCACGTGACTGCCACATTCGGTGCAGACTTTCTTGAGTTGACTCTCCAAGTGCCTTTGCACCAGTTCGTGGACTTCCTCACTAGGTATATGGACTACTAAATATCATCTACTTTAGATCTGGTTTTCGCTAACTCCCTCGACTTCATGACTGACGGTTCATACGGTGCACCTCTAGGGTCCAGCGATCACGCATGCATATCCTTTCGATGTGCTCTTTCAAGGCACCAAGAGGCCGCTTTTGAATTCCTTCCGACTATTTGGCGGGCGGACTTTACTGCAATGCTAGCTAAGGCTTCAGTTCTGAACTGTGAGATCTCGATGGCTGACTCTGTCCACTTAGCCTGGGATAAATTTAAGGTATATCTTACGAAAGTTTCCACTCTCTATATTCCACTCATGAGGAAGTGGGTTACGAGCATAGCCTCCATGGATAGATACCACAGACAAGTGCCTGCACAAGAAACGGTCTAGATGCTGGCGAACCTACCAAGCGGCTTCATCAGCCTGTGCCTACGATAGTTATCGAGAGATTACAACTAAATGTAAGCAACATCTCAAGACTGTTCGTCTCCAGTACAAGCAGGGTTTAGCGGACTCGGCCGCAGCTAATCCAAAGAAGTTTTTTGCTTACCTTAAAAGACGCAGTGGGCAAAACTGTCTATACCAGCGTTATTGCGAGCAGACGTGACCCGTGCGCAAATTGACTATGACAAGGCTTGTATAGTTAGTGATCAGTATACTGGGGTCTTTGCTCGGGAGACCTCTTTACCACAGGTTGAATTGTTTTCAAGAGTTCCAGAGGATTCTTGCTTGGCTGAGTTTAGCATAACGGAGACTGAGGTCTTCGAGTTACTGCAGGGCATTAATCCTCCTAATGCTCCCGGTCATGATTCAATTCCTCCGAAGCGGTTGCATGAATTGGCAACTGAGCTGTGTGGTCCTCTCATATGCTTGTTTTCAATATCGCTTGACAGCTGCATCCTACCTTCGGTATGGAAGGAAGCAATCTGTCCGATTTTTAAGGGCGGTGACAGCGCTCTGCCCGCGAACTACCGGCCTGTCAGTTTGACAAGCGCAGTAGTCAAGTTTGTAAAGCTGATAAGGGATTCAGTGGAGAACCACCTGAATAGATTCAACCTTCTCAGTGTTGCGCAACATGGATTCCGCAAGGGGTTTTCATGTCAGACCAATATACTTGTAGCTCGTGAAAGCTGTGCCGAAGCGGTAGACAGCAATCTAATGTGTCAGCTGTACGCCGTAACGGCGCTTCCCTGCCGCGCGACCACCACCAGTCGCGCGCGGGCTGAGTATACCGCGAGAACGCCCACCTCTACGCGGATTCGAACCGGTGGCCTTATGGTTGCAAACCAAACGTGCAGACCACTCAGCCACCGGCCGACAGTGGCCACGCTGTAGACGTGCTATTCGTGGACTTTTCGAAAACTTTTGGCACTGTTCCTCATCTTCGACTAGCACTAAAGTCGAGATCTTACGGTATATCTGGTCGCGCCCCTCAATGGATGTCTGCCTTCCTTGAAGGGAGGGAACAGTGCCTTCGGGTGGGGCGTAGCCTTTCGCTCAGGCAAGCTGTCCCTAGTGGCCTCCCGCAGGGTCCGGTATTGGGGCCATTGTTGTTCGCGATCTATGTACATGACTTGCCGGGCGAGCTAGGAGTGTCATCACTAATGTTTGCTGACGACCTTAAACTCTGGAATATTGTGGATATCCCGGGGGTCCTGAGGCAATTCAGCGTGCCTTGGATAGACTCTGAGAATGGTCTACATTATGGTTGATGCCCATGAATATGGCCAAGTGCTCTGTTCTCCGAATCGGAGCTGCTAATCCTCCCACCCGATATGTTTTCCGCGGTGATGAACTCTCTGTTGTCACTCAGCAGGTTGATTTAGGGGTCGTGCACTCATCAGCACCTCTTTCTGGCGACAATTGGAAGAGGGCTGCTTATCTGGGGTTTCGTATTATGTGGTTTATCCGCCGCTCTTTTGGAATCCTAACGGCCAATTTGTTTGTAAAGCTATTCTCGGCATTCGTCCGACCCCAGCGGCGATACCTTGGTATCGCCTCTGGGTATCACTGCACAAGCTTGTGCAATGATACAAGATCTTGTTCTTGCTTCATTTCCTTATGCAGAAGCACGGAGAAGGGGCTCTAGTTTGCTAACCTGGCAAGAAGCAGATGTTCGTTAGGCGAACGCCTGAGTCGTCCTTGGATATTGACCTGAACTGTTACTGAGGCACATGTGCCCGTCTGTGAAGCTTGTGATTCCTCTGTAATGACTGCACTTAAACTCAGGTTTATAACTGCATATGAGCCATCACATCTTGCTTCCACTTCTACACTACCTCAATCGCATATGATGTCATTATACTGGTATTATTTCTCATGTAACTTTTATTTGTAGGTTCATTTGTATCAGCAACCAAACTATCCGGACTGCTTTTTTGGTCAGGCGATTTACGCGCTTCTGTGATATGCCGTACGGATTGCTTTTTTCCCTATTGGAATGCCCTAATGTGAAGCTTCGCAAGCCACGTTTTGTGACATGGCCATCCTCCATGGCAGTTTTCATGTTCTTTTTGGTGACATACTTCCTTATTACCGGAGGTAAGTACTCATACTTTATTTGCCTTCCGTATTGCTGGGCATTTTGCTCATCCTTGTTTGTTTTCATCATACACGTTTGGTTCAAGGGGCTAAATAATTAAAACAGAACGGTCTACTTCAGCAGTCTTTTCCAACTGCTTTCACTGACCCCAACTTATACGGTTGGTCATGGGGCTCAAAGCAGATACTTTCTGAACATAGTTTGTTATGACACCGAGTCTTTCAACCATTTTACAGAATCGCTCTTGCCATAACAGTGTAGATGGTCCCGCAGTTCTTGAATTTGATTTGCTTTAAAGCCGTCCCAACTACTGTGAGTGTAAAGTACAATGCTATCTTCTCTTGACTTATTTCCAGGCTTGAGATTCAACGTATCCCACGCCATTCCAACATTTCCATCCGACAGTTTCTATTTATATTCGCCCGACCATAGCCGGAAGGACAAAGCGTCTGCCTTGTATTCCATAGATCGCGGTTCGAGCCAGCGTAGGGTATCGGGCGATCCTCACGATATCCTTCGTCCTCGCGCGGCTAATAGTGGTTGCCTGGCCTGTACTCCGTATCGACATGCTGCTTATACCTTTCACTAATATTCCACAAAAACCAGCCTTAGCTTTATTACCCACTTCATATGTGAGCTGGATGTGCCGTGCGTACCTTTTCGAATAGCAGGATCATCCTGCACAGTAAGTAGTTCATGCGATTCACTTGGCTCCCAATTAGATCTGAATAAGCTTATCGATCCCCCAGTTTTTTAACTTTTGCTTGCAACTCTCGTGAAATGCTTATTTGGCGGTAATAAAGTACCACCATCGCAATGAGGCTGGACTTTACCGTGGTGCAATGATTTGCGTGTCTCAGGGATCCATTCAGCTATGCTGGATGATGCTTTTTGCACCTTCTGAGCCGCTCACACCAGATTGGTCAATTGTTAGAGGCCAGACAAACCCAGTCTCATGGTCCTCCAGGTTGGGGTTGGAGTATCGGTGGTTCCTTATTCCTTAAAACAAACTCGATTGCTTAACCCACTGTCTTGCTGTCAGGTTTTGTGATACAAAGGGTTGGGAAACCTGACAGTATCCTGCTCACGAAATACAACACAATGGCTTTAACTTCAACTCATTTCTTGATGCTCTGGCCGTCGCAGAGGATCATTAAAGGTGCCCCACATGCTGCATCGAGCAGGGTGGATAGGGGTTTGGATGCTACTACCCAAGCCTTCCCGTCTTTTTATTCCCCCTCTTACGCTGTTTCCCGCTTATCGTTCAATTCCAACTTCACTTCTACCCTCCGTTTTCAACCCCACAATTCTTGGCCTCCCCACACCTTGATTTACTAGGCGTTTATCTTCTAGTTTCAACTCTGCTCTGTCGACCTTCGCGGTCTATATCTGCTGTCTTTCGGAAACCCACTTACAAGACTGGCTTTATGCTCACTCTGCGATTCTATTCAGATGAAACTAACGATGCTTTTTATCCGCGTTTATTTAGAGGCGATGCTGCTTCGAGTGCCGACCAATCCGGTGTTGGTGTTGCCCTCAGTCCGCGGGCTGAAGCTGCTCTGGTTGATCGGATCCCAGTCAGTAGCCGAATATATGCAGTCCGACTGGTTGACTCGTTCAAAACTTCGAAATCACACGGGGCTAATAGGTATATTAATCATTGCTGCCTCCGCCTCTACAAACTGTAGGGATGACTCGGTAAAAGACGACTTCTTTCGCCAACTGAACGAGCTCCCTCCACAGAAGAAGCACAGACACGCGCTGGCTGAGGATCTGAACACTCATGTTTGAAAATTGTTCACTGATGAGCTGCATCTGGTGTAAGTTTCCGTAATGATAATCGTGTGTGGTTGCTTCATGTGTGTGAAGATGCTCGCTTATTTCTTGCGAGCACTAACTTCCGACATAGCCCCCGCCGGAGGGTGACATATCGCCCACCAGTCTTGGATTAGCCATGGACACAAATCGATCACATTGCGATCAGTTACCGTTGGAGAGGTTGCGACGAAAACTGTCACTCGATTTGGAGCACATATGTGGACACCAATCATGTGATTGTATGTGCTGATCTGCGGATGCGTTTTGTACGCCCGCGATGACCCTGTGGGCGCTGACACCCGCTAACTAGCGAAGCCGGATGTTCCGATTTGGTATCGTGGTACGCTGGCATTCGGGTTGAGTAAGTGCGCATTGAACAGTTGAAGGTCGTATTTTCACCAGACCTTACTAGCAACAGGTAATTCCTCATATGGTAAATTCAATAGCCAATATGGACGTGGGTATCTTCGCAGTCTCCGGAACTTTCGGATGCTGACCGGCACATCCCAGCTGGAATCGGACACAATGAATGAGCTGCGCATGCACCTATCAAAAGCGGCTGCCGCATTTGGCAAGCTGGAAACACGTGTGTGGAACAACCACCAGCTCACTGTTGGGACTAAGCTGATGATATCCAAGTCTACGGTGCTCTGCATTTCTATATGACAGCGAAACCTGGACGATGTACCGGAAGCATGTCCGTTCTCGGGAGCACCTCCATAAACAGTGCATGCGTCGTATTTTGCGCATCGGCTGTGGTGGCCGAGTTCCAAACACGAAGGTGCTCAGCCTCAGTGACATCTATACAGTGAACTGCACGCTTCTGCTGAGGTGGCTCGGGCAAATTCACTGCATAGATTCGACTCGAATACCGAAAAAGTTGCTTTATGGCCAACTGTGCACGTGTGAAAATCAAGTTACCTCATCAGGACATTATCCATTTGTGTTTATCCCGCAATCATATTGATTTCAGCTGTTGAGAAGCGATGGTAGATTAGAGCCGGTGGGGAAAGCATATTATATGGTTGGTTACCCAGGTGAATGGGAAATCACTAATGCATGCCGAAAGGCAACGTCGGTTGGGGAATCGACAGGCGCCGATGGTGGATAGCTCACCGACGTCGAGCGCATTGTGCTGCAGCACATGCGGTCGCGAGTGCGTGAGCCAAGCTTGCTTAGTAAGCCACCAGCGTCGCCACGTCAGTCTAACATCGAAGAGGCGACGAGTCAGTTGAATCGGTAATCATAACTAGCGCAGCGCTGCTTCCGGTTCAATTCCATGTACTAACCTAGGCAAATAATACGGTTAATGTGGTACGTGTACTACATCACCGCTGCAGTTGGTCTGTACGTGTGCATGCATGTTGAGTTTCTTGCATTTCACGTGTTTGTTGTCCATGGATATCCTTTGTGTGGCCGTGCTTTATGTGAATGTAAACAAGGTACCTACCTGTCTAACACTCTCCACCTCGATTATTGGCTGTAGAAGGCTGCGAACCATTGCTGTGGGGAAGGCGTGCGCCGTCCTCGTGACCGTGCTAGTCTCAAAGAGTGATTCCACGCAGTGTGGAGCGAACTACGGCCCAGCCCCCGCCTTGTATACTTCATGAACGCATGATTCCCAAATTAGCTAGATTGGAATGCTGCTGCTATGCATGTTGATGAGTGTGGTCCTGCTCCTTTGATGAAACGTGGCTCCCATCCACATGCCTCTCGGTCTTATTTCTTCGAGTCTACACTGGATATGCGGTGTGTGGATGGAGCCGTGGGTGGTGCGGCGCAAGCCATTCATTCTCGAGTATCCCTACGTAAATCAAAAAGACCGCCGCACCTATACTTACAAAGTACGTACATTATTTGCGAGAATCCACTCCACTGGCTTGCTCTTTTTATTTGTCTTGTTGATTGGTCACATGCACACAGTGTTTTTTCAGTTGGCTGACTGCCTTCACAGAGCTCGACGTAGACGCGCGCAGACCACTCGGTGATGGGCTGACCGATCCGCTTCCGATAACTTGCTCACTTTCATTCGGACTAAGGTGCATCTATTCGGTACTCCGCTAAATGCTGCATGGCGTTCGATTGGTCATCTGCCTACCGGTATCATCGCATTTTCACTCGACATTAGCTTCGGCCACATCACATCTTTTCCTTTTCCGCCTTTTATAATAGCACTGCACTGTGTTCCGTATTGTCTTCCACTGCATGCTCGTTTACCTTCTTGGGCTTGGATAGCGAGACACTTCTCCGGTTGATGCTGTCGATCCTCTCTTTGTGGGGTCCACTCATGACTCCCCCATATTCCGTCGAACGATGTTGCCACCAACCTTGACTTCATAGCTCATCCCTTCCGCCAGCATCCTCTGGATTCCGGTACTGGCTGCACCCATACTTCTGCCGTATCTAGTGGTGGGAGACTTCGATCCGCGACCATAGTACATCTTTTGCTTTAGTATTCTGTTCCGGAGTCGATCGTGAAGAACATCGGTGGGCGCTATCTCGGGATACAGTAGAGCTGTAGCGATCCATAGTAGCGTTCTTGTTCGACGACTGAATAGACGCTGCGCGGGACTCGCTCCGATATCGGTAGATAGGGTGTTCCTTCGATCCAGTAGCACTATGTGGGGATCCTCCTGGGTCTCCTTAGCTTTTATAAGCTCTTTCTTTGCCTCCTTCACTGCTGACTCAGCCTTTCCATTTGATTGGCTATGGTATGGGCTGGTGAGCCTTTGACGAACATCTCACTTCCTGCTGAAGGCACGAAACGCTGCACTATTAAATTGCGGCTCTTTGTCGGAAATCACCTCACATATTCCTTGTCGAGCGAGTTGACACCATAACTTGTTCACTACGGTCTGCGTACTAGTCGTCGTAAGAGCATCGATTTCGAAGCAGTCACTAATTCTTCTTACGGCTTTATTCAACTTACTAATAGGATCTAATTGTTCCAAACTAAAGTAATCAACCACAATCAAGTTGTACTTTCCATCGGGAGCAAAAACGTCCAGTGCAACTATCTGCCAGGGTCTGTCAGGAATGTCACAAAACATCATCGGCTCATTTGGCTGGCGTACATCCTGTGTCCTGCATGCCACACAATTGGTTGGCCACTCCAGACCAGAACAACAGCTCTTGCCACGCAGTTGTTGGTTTCTGAATGTGCACAATGTATCAGCTCCAG